TAGATAGATAGATAGATATAGACAAATAAAACAGTACATGAAAATTTAAATGCAGTTCTACAATGATTCAATACAGAATAAAGTCAGATATAATCCGGAACTAAGCAAAGAATCTTAAAAAAGTGTTCCAACAGTTGTTTCACCTCTCCATCTGAATGGTTGGCTTATGTAGGCATATGTAGGCTGCATCTCACGGGGTGGCATAGAGTGAACCATGTCAGGCTGTCTGCCTGATTTATAGTGGGTGGGGCTATGCCTAGTTGGACTGCACTTGGCTGGGCTCTAGCAGGCTGGGAGTTAGAAGGCTCGACGGTAGCAGGCCAGGCTGAGTGGGCTCTAGTTGGCAGGCTTCTTCTATACTGCACTCTGCTGTGGTGTGCTGTGCCAGATTACAGCCAATATGGTTTGTGCTGCTGTGCATGGTAAATGGAGGCGCCTTTCTAGTCTTTTGACCACTCAATACACTGTATACTACATGCCACACTCACCCCATTCACACACACATTCATACACTGATGGCAGTGGCTGCCATGCAAGGTGCCAACTGCTAGCTACCAGAATGGAAACAAAGATCTCCATTATATTAAACGAAGAAACCTGATGTTATGTCCTAGCCTATGCTTTTTAGTTGTATAGAAGGCCCAATGACTTAAAATACAATTACATAAACATATTTGATAGTTTTTATGAATTCAGGGTTTCCAGTTCAAATGCCACCCATTCACACACATTCATACACTTATGGCTCCGAATTGGGAACAATTTGAGGTTCAGTATCTTGCTCAAGGACACTGACATGCAGTAGAAGGAGCCAGGGATCGATCAGCCAACTTTCTGATTAGTGGATTACATAACAAAACAACTCTCTTGACTGCATTTATTTGAAGAGCTTTCTGATGCAATTGAACATAACTATTACTGAACATTATTGTGAAGCACACAGAAGCTTATAGCAATAGGATAAATTAGGCATACTGTCTCTAGTAACAATGGCAGTACCTCTGGGTGAATACTGTCTCTGAAATTGACGTCACTGTCCAGACTTTCTCGTAGCCCTCCGCTGAACATTGCCTCAAAATAACGACTGCATGCTGCCAAGACAGCCCTGCGAGACACAAAAACATTCTTTTGTCAGAGACCAAAAATGTTGAGCTCATAAATCCAGAGAAAGATACCATTAAAATGCACAAATGTTAGCATGTGTTTACCTATGGCATGGAAAGGAGCGGTCCCCGGCCCACAGAGTGACATCAGTGAACATGGAGTGTTTCCTCATTGTGTTCAGTTGGGTCAGGACACTGTCAGGATGTGAAGGCTTATGGAACAATGAGATGTTCATGGAGCCTGTGCTGGTGCGGGATTTACGATTCTCATGAACAGACACCGACATGGCAGCTATGTTTTGCACCTCCAGGGAGTCACTTGGAACAATCTCTCAAACACAAAGACAGTAAAAGGAAATTACAATGTGCATCAGCAGCAATTATATCTTACATCAGCCATAACATTATGACCACCTGGGCACCCTGGTGGTCATAATGTTATCCCACCCCATACGCAGAAAACTGCAATGCACTGTGTCCTGACACCTTTCTATCATAACCAGAATTAACCACCAAACTTTTGATAACTGGATGATCCACTCGACCTCCTGAGCCATAGCCACCCTGATTCTTTGATTTTTTTTACAACTGGAGAACCAGATTTGTAGGCCAGGGCATCTCTGTAGAACTACAGTACTTATTATAATGCTGTTTTGTAACACATTTTACTGTTCAAAAAAAAAAAAAAGCTATTTGGATATGGCACTTTTTTGATAATATTTTTTGATAATACTGTTGGCCTTGGTGTCCTCCGTTTTGTCTGTGATGCCCAATTAAATTTGTATTTATCAAAAGCAAAAGTGGTCTTTCCCTAAAGATGACTATATTTCAGACCTGTTAATTAATACCAATAATTAATATCAGGTTGCACTGTTCATAACAACCCACAGTGCTAAAGTCCAAATACTGGTTTGAAAGCCTTGCCCCTTTTCAGTGTTGCTATCAGATTCCTTCAATAATATATTCATGTTTCACCACAGCACTTTCATTCTTCTGACAGACTCATTACAGTAGTAGATCAGCAGTTTTGTTGGAAATGTTACTGTCTTGGTTTACCTGTCTGAACAGTTGGGGTATTTGGTATTATCTCTATCGTAACATTTCTCAAAGCTACCACTTAAAAAGGTCCAGTGTATAAAATGTAGGAGGATCTATTGGCAAAAACAGAATATAATATTAATTAGTGAAAATAACAGTCGTTCTCTTTTTTGGGGCCAGCACCCCCAATCTATTATCTTGTTCCCTTACAGCCCCCCATCAAACAAAATAATGCTAATTGTCTCCAATTAATATGAATGTTGATTATTATGATGATCATCATCATAATAAATGCCAAATAACACTTTTTATTTAACTAAAAGTTGCAATATCATTAATGTCTCTGGGAGAAAAAAAATCCATGTGAATAGAAATTAAGTTTGAGTGTTATAAAAACACATAGGTTAGAAATTTGACATTTAGCCTTTAATTGGCAATCAAACAGCAGCCAATCAGAAACCATTAGTAATTTGAGATAAACATTTTAATTTAACATCAACTAACATTATTATTAATTGTTCCAACAGAAAAAAAAAGGCTGCATGTGGAGGACCTGGGTGAATTCCTGCTCAACTACTGAATATGTTATTAGGAAACTAAGAAGAATCAGCCAGGTATTTTCCCTGAAAGCAGATATGAATGCTTTTAAGAGGAAAATTCTCCTTAATGGATAATACAGAGAAAGAGAGCATCCATTTTCCTGAGCAGACACAGTAAAGGCCATGTTGAATTGAAATTTTATAGATGATATGGTAAAATCCTGATCCTGTGACAGAAGCATGGAGGTGAGCCACAGAAAGCTGACAGAAACACTGAAGTGAGGAGATGCTGCTATGGAAACCATATACTGTCTTGTCTAGTCACAGTGGTGTAAACTACCAAGTTTTAATGTTACAGACCCCATTCATTTGCAAGTAGTTGAACATTTCAACTTGTCTTGTTGTGAATCTTTGATAAAAACAAAATGCCCCTCAGGAGCACCTTAACGCCCCCCTTTCCAGTATATTGCTTCCATCGTCCCCCAGGAGCTGTTTTTATCTAAAGAAGACACAGGTCGTGGAGGCCGCCATGTTGAACTGCCATGTTTCCACATTAACCCAGAACTGAAAATCTGGCTCTAGATGAATAAATGCAGCCATCAACACTACACCATACCACAGATAAAAGGCTGTTTCAGCAGCCTCAACATTGTTTTGGTTTGTGTGTGGATGAGTGCATCCATCTACATTTGCTGATGTGCAGTTTTAGAGCAGAGTCACAACAGATCAGTCATGGTGTGTTCAGTGTTCAGAGTCTGTTTTGAAGATCACTATGCAGGCTCAACAAGAACCCGTAACAAAAGATGAGAAGCATGCATTGCATACACATACAATTAACTGTAGGCTGGCACCCACCATGTTGTTGATTGCATAGGATTTGACAAAGCAACGCCTGTTCAACTTGGCCTGGAAGTGAAGGGTTATCCTGTTAGACCATTCATGGCTGCTGCAACAAGGACTCACTTTTACCAAAATGATATAGTTTTGAAGCCATTTGCAAATAGTAATTTTGAGTATCCAAGTGAGGGTAAACCAACCAAACTCCTACAGCTGTAAGACAAAGGACTCTTCAACAACTTTTTGTCCTATACTGCCAATATTATTGTTATTATCATCATTATTATGGCTGTTATCATCCTTCTCATCTTCATCATTATGTGTCATCATTACCAAGCACCACAAAGACAGAGACCTGGCTATTCTCCGCCTCAGGAGTCACAAAGCACTACTTCTTTACCAAAGACAGAGTGGCAATATTTACAGACTGCACAGACAAGGTAGCTGTGCAGCGTTAGTGTCTTCCTCTCCCTATCAAAGGTCTGACTGATGCTGGAGCCAAATGCACACTAGTTTTTTTGCAGCTCTACTGACAACTATATGAAACAGACACATAAGGGGGGAAATCCTTACGAAGAACTAAAACAAGCAGTTCCAAGTCAACATTATAGCAGAAACATATAGACCTTTTGCACCTTGTTCCAATGTCTATTTCTGTTGAATATGTCAAAGACATGGAAAGAAAAGAGACATTTTAACATCTCTCGTATCTGTTTCAGATTAAAGGCTTTTATAGTATTGTATTCGTCAAAGGCAAACTCAATGTAGAAAGATAGGGCTGGTAGCAGTAGAGTCACAGCAGTTGACTGATCAATGAAAGATTACACTATCTGAAGAGATCACCCATTCTTCTCAATTATACTGGGTATGGGAGTGTTTTTCCTCATTACAGGCTATTAGGGATGTGTGTGTTTCTCTTTGGCTGTCCTTCTGTTCCACAGGTGTGAGAAGCAGAGGTGATAAAGGAGAAGGTAGGACCTGGAAACACCGCTCGCTATTTGGCAGTGTGTCCAGGCAGTGATCTCCTCCACGTCCAGAGAAGTAAATGTGGGGTACTGTACAGCAGCAGTTCGATCTCAAAAAGCATCTCAGTCTGCAGAGCAGTCGATGCCCTCAGCATGCATCGTAGCATTTCCCTCCCTCCTTTATCACCTTTTTGTCCACAGTGTAGCCTTGTTTCAGGATTTTGCCATACATGCAAAACAGGAGAAAAGCCAAAGATAAAGACAAACTTTATTCTCACAGTCACATCAGCGTACTCAAGGGATGCCTGGGGGTGTATAGAAGGAAGTCTGATCCTCTTGAGGTAGCATCAATAATCCATTGATCAGCTGAAGGGGAACGGAAGGCTCCGTGTTAAAACAATATACTATTTGTCTTGTTATAAAATGAAAGGTTATATCAAATCTGTTTTTCTTTATCTGATGTAGCACCAATATGTTTTAGTAGATTATATACTAATAAAAAGATACCTATAAATATTATAT